CAGGAAATAGGGATGAGGATTGGTCCAATCTCATCTCCACTCTGGACCTCTAGACTGTTCTAGCTCAAGAGAGCATGTCATTTTAGCTACAGAGTAACTGACCAGGAAATGGAGGGCAGGTCATCATATACCCATCAGCTTTGTCAGAAAAGAGTCTAAAGATCTCATTCCAGGGTACTGAGTTGGGAGTTAGCAAAACTTACAAGTGATGCTGAATTGATATTGTCCTTAACACGCCCACTCCCTTGATCCCAGGAAAAATAATATTGGTTATAACAGATGGCATTTTTGCAGTGTTTCACATTCATGGCTAGATAGAAGAAGTAGACCACTGTCTTAAAGACAAATGTGAGTTTCATGCTAAAATGAAAAAATCTCACTAAGTCGGTAGAAATTAGCCATCGGGCACTCTATAGCATGTTTCCATTTAGAAATGGTGTGGAATAACTTCAAAGGTAGGCTGCAGCAAGGCAAGGGTGCTGATGATGACATAAACTCTACCCTGAAACTGTCTGGTTGAGATCTCTCCAGTGCCTTTTGCTACATGAAAGACCCTCGGGTAAGTTGGTCTATCACTGGACATCATCTTCAAGATGAGGTCACGCAGAACTGTACCTATTCTATAAAATTCTTACTAAGACTAAGACAATTGTACAAAATTCTTCTGGTACAGTTAGAAGTAAATGATGTCAGTTGTTATTATTACAGTTAGATTTAGGGGTGGCAACTGCTGGCTCAGACTCTTTTAGACTGGTTTTCTTAGATTGAAATCTTAGAATGTTTATAAAACATTTTAAGACTCCCAAAGGGACCCTTACAGTGAGTCTTGGGTAATAAAAGCCTATGAAAGTACCTGTCTTTAGTACAATACAGAAAAGGATAATCCAAATGGCGTGAAGGAGAATAACCGTTCCCCTCTGAAGCAGTAACACTTTCACTTGGGAAACCAAAGGGAGTGGGCTGAAAAATGAAACTGCTAGGGTTTTCTGGCTGAAAAGAGCAATCTTGGGGCACTAGGGGAAACAAGCTAAGAAGAGGCATACCAGTGAGGAGCGGAGCAGTGCCCTCCCCTAACCGGCATCACAGTTGGGAAATTAGTTTTCTTTCCAGTGTTTTTAACTGGAAAGCCACAGAGGCCTAAGTCTGGGAAAATTTAAACTTGGTAAATATAGTGTCTGAAAGCAGGCCCTAGGGGCCTTGGTGATTAATTACATGAGGACAAGGCTGAATTTAACTAATGGCTCTTAGGAGATCTCTGATTCCTTGGGATTACTGTAATTACATTGATGTCACTGCCCTCACCCAAAGTTGTTGGGGTGACTGACCTGGGGGATAAGTGACCTGAAACAGTAATAATTACAAACAATAAACATGCACATTACTTGGTGAAAGGGGAGGACTGGACCTCAGGCTCTGACAATGGCCTTAAAGGCTTGCGTGTATCCAGAGTGGCGTGTATTCCAGAGTTGCACAATCACTGGGCTGCACCAAAGGGAAAGGGGCTCGCACCTGGCAGAGTGAATGAGCTCAACCAGAGACCTCTGCCAACTCCTCCATCTTATCATTTTCCTCAGGATGGTTTTATCCATGGTTGGGCTTCACATTTACTATTATAGAGTGGAGATTATAACAATGGCACAACCTTCGTCTCTCAGTGTTCCTGGAGACAAGGTGGCTTCCTCCTGTAATATATTATCCCTCCAGGCAACGTTCACAGAGATGAGAGTTGAGGACCCCAGGCTAGTCCTTAATACTCCTCATTCCCTGCAGATGGGGTGTGGAACTCCCACTCTGGCCAACTAAATGTGAGCCGTGTTCCTGACAGCCCCGGGGTTGCTGGGTGGCAATCAGCCTAGGAGCAGTATGCTATGAGGAAGGGATAAGCAAGATCATTGCTATTCTCGGAAACTCCGGGTAGCTCATGTTACAGATGTCAAAGGAGAGCTGAGACTGAGCAATCTAAACAGGTAGTCAAAATAAATTCCAAATGAGAAGGAGGCCCCATTTGCGTTGGAAAAGACTGTAATTGTAAGTGAAGTGAAGAAACTTTAAAACCATGGTAACGGAGACCGGCCAGAAATGGTTTCGTTAATTGCAAGCCTGTGCCCCGTGCTTCCTTAGAGTGAGTACAGTGCCGTGCTCCCAGGAGACAGCAAAGTGAGAGGAAATGGCACTGGGGTATGTAGTTCATGGCATTTATTATCTTAACCAAGATTAAACTTCCCACTACTTATTTTTAGCTGTATACTTTATACAACAAAGTGTTTATCTATTGTTTATCTGTATGGTATATGGTATATGGCATAAATGTATTCATGTCTGTACACGTAGACAGTGTACATGCATGTGTGTGTACAGGGTGTGGAAGCTAGAGGTCAGGTGTCTTTCTCGGTCACTCTCCACCTTAGTTTTCCAGACAGGGTCTCACTGAAGCTGAAGGTCACCTGTTTGGCTGCAGGGGTTGCCAGTGAGCCAGGGACACACCCATCTTCTGCCTTCCCAGCACTGAGATTAGAGGTGTTCCCAGGCTTTTATGTGGGTACCAAGGATCCAAACTCAAGTCTTCATACTTGTGTGGCAAGGCCTTAACTGACTGAGCCATCTCTCTGGCCCACAGCAGTACTTTTAGGTCGAAGGTCAACTATTCTCCAAACCAGGTCTTCAAAACACATTAAGTCTAAAAGTACAGTTGTACCCCTGGCCCAAGTCTGAAGCAATCTTTGCCTACTAACTAACTGTTGGACATAGGTATGACAGAAGGGAAGGAATCCAGATGGGTAACAGTTGCCTGATTCCGGCCAGTTGGCTTCTTACCCTATGTTTGAGGGAATGACTACATAGCAAGTCAATGATGTAAAGGTTTAGGAAGGGCTTGGTAGAAAAAAGGAAGAATGTGCAGAAGCAAACGTGCGTTGTCTTCATTAAAACTCTTCTACAGATTAGCATGCAAAGCGTATGATGATCAAGAGTATTCTTCCCTACAGCACATTCACTAACAAAGGTGATTAGACCAGGCTGGGGAGACGGCTCAGCTGGCAAAGTGCTTGTGTACAAGCCTGAGGATCTGAGCTTGAGCCCGAGCACTCACCTAAGACAAAGGGCATGGTTTTGCATGTTTTTACTCTCAGTGTAAGGGGGAAGAGACAGGGAGGTCGCTGGGGCTCAATGGCCAGCTAGCCTCATCTAATTAGTGCACCCTGGATCCAAATGAGAGACACTGTCACACAAAGCAAAGTGGACACCTTCTGAGGAGTCATATCCAAAGCTGTCTGATGGGAGATCCTTCTGTATATGTTTCTCTTATTGGCTGATGAATATAACACTGTTTGGCTAGTGGCCAGGCAGGAAGGATAGGCAGGGCTCCCAGAAGAGGAGAATTCTGGTATGTATAGGCACACAGTAGTCATCATGTAGAGCCTGGGAAGAGAAGAAGCAGCTGGTGTTCTCTGGAAATATACAGATTAATAGAAATGGGTTAATAATTAAGACAGAGCTAGCCAATAGGAAGCCCTAGTCACTGGCCAATAGTTTTATAATTAATATAAGTCTAGTGTGTTTATTTGGGGTTCTCAAGGGCAGCAGAATCCTGCCAGGACAAAGAACCTGCTGTTGCAAAATGGTGCTCAACATGGGGCAGAGGACCTCCCCCATCAGCTGTCCTCTGACATGGCCAGAGGGCATACCCTTGTTGTTTTTATGAGGAAGTGTATGTGTGTGTGTGTGTGTGTGTGTGTGTGTGTGTGTGTGTGTGTGTGTGTGTATGTTGGTTCATATTCAGGGGTATCCTAGTTCTCAGTGAAATTCCTGTCCTATTGTGCTAGTGCACAAAACACTTCCTTCTGCCTTTTCTTCCCAGGGACTTTAGAGGCAGAAGGCAAGGACTAGCTTGTCTGCCCAAATCCTGCCCACCCAGAGAAATTATTCTTTCTCACCTCTTCTCAAGACTTGTTTCAACTTTTCCAGACCCACCCCCTCTCAGTTACAGGTAGAAATATCAAGTTTGGCATTGCCTACCTCCCTATCTACCTTCCTATCTGCCAATCCAAACCTGGACTCTCTTGTGTGGTTCCCAAACACGGATGCTTGCCGTGGCAAGCCACTGGCATGATGTTCTCTGTAGTCTGCATTCCTGGATCAAGAGGAAGTCAGGAGTCCATCCAAAACAGCCTTAGAGACTAGGGGTTCATTCAAAACAGCCTTGTGAGATTATAAACCAACAAAGGAAACAAATTTAACTCCCACAGAACGGAGTAGAGGAAGGGAGGAAAGGGGGCGAGAGTCAAGCAGGATCCATGGCCAGAAGTCAGCATGACCTTCAGTAGCACAAAGATGCCATCCATTTAGCGGTTATATATGAGGAGCAAGAACGGATTTCTTTCACTCCCTCATCTCATCCCACTTACAACACAAATCCCATCACTATCACCTCACTGCCACCAGACAGCTGGCACAGAGCCCTGGTTATGGCCAACTTTCAGCCTTCTTTCTCCACTCAGCCTCTGTCATAAAGTTTTGAACAACAAAAAAGTCTGTATTGAACATGAACAAATATTTCTTGTCATTTTCCTCTAAACAATATAGTCTAAACAGTGGCTATTTATATATCATGTACACTTGACTGGTTATACTAAATAATCCAAAGGTAATTTACAGTATATGGAAAATGTGCATAGACTATATGTAAATGCTTTTATATTTTCTATAAGGAACTTGAATGCCTTGGGTTTTTGTGTCTGCAGAGGACACGGTCTCTCATGGATGCTGTGAAATGACTGCTGCACTGCACATTTGGCAGCAATGTGGGCAGTTTTTTGGGACACACACACACAAACACACGCACATGCATGCTATGTGTACGTGCGTGCACACACACACATGCACTCAAAACTAGTGCCATGGAGTCTCATATCTTAACTTGCTGTCCCGTGACTTGTGACTGCTTCTAATTAGTCCTCTTCCCAACACACATCACTACCAAAGAAATGTCAGTTACCATGTATACAGAGTTATTTAATATCCAGTTGTTACTGTGCTTTGACTCATCTTCACAGTGTTTATAGGAGGACCCAAACTACTACACAGTCCTGAATTAGACCTTGACTCCGGAGAGTCAACAGAAGGCAGGCATTCAGAGTGAAGGCTTGATCTAACTTCTGGCCCAGTTCTAGCACTCCAGTGCAAGTGGCAGGAGCAGTTAGTGGATAGCAGCATGGATTCCAAGCAAGCATGTCCTCTGTAGCAGGCCCTTCTAGTTACCAACGTAGTCTGGGGCCCCACACCTCTGTCCTCAGTTTCTCCATCTGTAAAGCAGAGGTAGCAAAAGTATTTAGTTTATGCAGTTCTTACGGGGGATAGGTGTATTGAAATACTGAAACTACAGACTTAAGAGCAGGAGAGCATTAACTGCTGTTGTTTGTACTATCATTGCTTGTTGCTATCATTGATATCAGGAGGAAGGGTATCACTCTGCAAAGGTGGAAGAGTCTACCATGATAAATGGAAATCCAAGGCACACTCCATTCTGGTACTCAACACACCCACAGATAGACAGACACTTTGAAAGAGAAAGAACTCAAGGCAAAGTGCCCCTGGGTTCCTGATGACCTTCAATGAAGGAACTGTCACACACTCTGAAGTGGCCACCTGCTCCTGTCTATAGCTCTCTTACTTTGTGATCCAGGAAGAAGGAAGGAAAGTGTGATAATATGGAAGAGCAGTTGAGTTCTGTTAATGAGTCTTCTCAAATGCAGCAGGAGTATGTGCACACACCCAGGACCTGGGTCAAGCACTCACACATATGAACTAAATTCTCTGGCTGTGTGGCTCATATGTCAAAACAATGGATAGGAGCTAAGCACTCTCCTTTTGTTCATCCTTGGACACTCCTCCATTGCCTGTTCTAGCCCCTGTGGTCTCAGACAACATTTGTAATAGCACTGGTCAAGTGTAGTCACAGGGTGCTTGGATCCACTCTACCATGTCTTAGCATTTTCATTCTGGGTGCATTTGGCAAATATTCGCAACATAAATGTAGAATGAAAGGCTTATTTCATACTAACTGGGAAGGTGAGTCCACTCAAGGAAACAATTCTAAAAGTGGGAACTTCAGGGTTAAGTGATACAGGAGATAGCAGTGATGTGGGCAGAGAGCTCTTGAGTTTGAGACAGCAAGAAATTCCACACATCTGTGGGTTAGAGGCAAGCATGGAGAGAGAGGCCCCTTAAAATGTTTATTCCAGGACTGCCTCTGGGCATCGACAAAGGGAACAGTGTCTGGCTATATCTTAGCAGAGGCATGTCCTTTTAGGAGTTTGCTATGGCTGTTGCACAGGTCTAATCTGTCTATAGTCAGTTATTGCTAAATAACTCTTTCCCAGCCAACCCCTACAGCCATCCATGGAGCCTCACCATTAAAGAGTATGGAGGGTGAAGGTCTAGGGTGGGGCAGGATGGAGGCCTAGGGGTAGGTGCCTGGAAAAGACCCAGACCAGAGTATTCGGGATGAGTAGGTACAAAGCCTGTGTTCAAGAATGTCCTGGGACAGTGACTGGGGTCAAAACTTCCGGTGGTCATGCTTCCTGCCAATATCACAATGAGTGATTCAGCACCGAAGGAAAGTGTTAAGTACCCACCATGGGCCAGAGACAGTACCTGGTGCTAAAAGTGGGCAAAGGATGGGAGAAGATGCAAGATGCCTATGATGAGAATCAGCCTGAGAAAACTCAAAAACACAACCCAGTGTTTGAAAGCAGGAGGCACATTGTCAGTTACTCAACAGTGTCCATCAGAGAAAGCATCCCGGAAGCCTTGGTATTTAGTTAAGTCATAAGGGGGAAAAAAACAAAGCAAACAAATGAACCAAGAAGACACGAGCTGAAGAACCCATGGGCTACAGGAAGTAACTAGCATGGTGGCAATTACGATGCAAAAGGCAGGTGAAATAAACCCTGGGTTCAAATGTTACTTAGCTCCATGATTTACCAAATGTAAAACTTTTAATCAAGATCTCAACCTTTCTTGGCCACAACTTCCTCATCTATAAAATGGGAGTGTGTCTGTTCAGCTGAGAAAGGGAATTAAATGAGAGGTGTATCCTTCTTGGTAGGACTGGTCCCAAGTAAATCACCTGCAAAGGACAGGTGTCGTGGTAATCCTTGAATCTGTTTATTCTCATTCTGGGCCATTATGAAAGTGACATAGAAAGGGTACTGTGAGAAATCTAGGCTTTGGGGTGGCATGAACTTCAGGGAAGCTTTGGTTTCTGGATCTTCAAGAGCCCTTTGGCTAGGCAGAACATGTTGGCACCATGCAATGTGCTGGCACAGGGGGATGTCTTGTAGCTTGGCTTACACAATATGCAGATACATTTCCTCCAATTCTCCAGTGTCTGCCCATCCCACAGCTTTATGGCATGAGTCACACCTGGTCTGTAAATAATGGATCCCAAGGAGGAAGAACTAAACGCCCGCAAACTTCCTCACACCCCTTCCCAGCACATAGCCAGTGAGGTCCTGTATATTCCTTGTGGGCAAAACTTTCCCCACAGCCAAATCTTCCTCCTTTTTCTTCTCCAAGTCCCATCTTGGGAAAAAAAAGGAGAATAAAATGACAAGGGGAAATCCAGGTTAAACAAAAGTTGGGAGAACAGCATTTGTTTGCACAAGGCAAAAACAAACAAACAAACAAACAAAAATCCAAAGCCTCATCAGTTGAGAGAAGGTTCAGAACACAGGATCTTCTGGGCTCAGGCTAAATCTCCTTCCAGAAGATTCCAACTCCTGGGGTTGGAGATAGGGGTAGGGATGGGGTGGAGAGGGTGTAGCATTCCCTTCAAAGAGCCAGTGGGTGACCCAACATCTCATGGAAAGGTCTCAAACTTCAGTACAAACTACTTTACTTTATACATTTGCTTAGCATTGGTGGAACCAACTCTCTAAGGGCCCTTTGCCCAGTGCCCCCAAGGAGACTACCAGGTAAAATGTCACCTGTAACCTCCATCTCTGGTAATGAGGATGATGCCACCCGTGGTCACAGAAGGGTAGCCTTGAAGATGGGAACTGCTCCTGGAGCCGGATGGCCATGATGATGTGGAGAAGAGGCAGGACGCTGTCACGTCGTCTCCACACAAACAAGAACAGCACTTGGGTTGGGGAACGGCCTGTTTTATTTTAAAATGAGATGGTACATAAATAAACTGGGTAAATGGCAGAGCTGGAGGAAATCCAGGGGCTTAGAGTTAGGGAAGACACCCTGCAGAAAGTCAGACCTACAGCGCCCTACACTAGCCTCTCCTTAGGGTGGTTTAGGAGTCCTCTAGTGGAGCCCGCTATATTCCTTTCCCTTTGGTGTGGGGCGGGGGAGGAGGGATTAAATTAAAAGGTCAGTTTTTTAAAACTGTTCCTAATTGCAACAACTGCATCTTTTCTAATCGTCCAATGCCCCCTCAGCTTACCTTGCGGTTTTAGCCCTCCCTTTGAAAGCGCACAGTGGAGCTCTTAAGAGGTTCTCCTGAACTTTGAATTGTTCTAATTTCAGCACAGTTTGGAGGCCAAGAAGCTAAGAACGGCCTTTCAAAGCAGGAGCGGAGGTTTTCCATAAGAGCATCTGACCTCTGGCTTTCTCCACTCGGCCGGATCTGTGCATCTCCGCAATCGGCACCACCATCTACCAAATGCCATAAAAACAGAGAGATAATCACACTGACGATTACACTCATCTGGCTCAAAGGCCTTCTAAAAGCAACGAAATGGGCATGCAAGTTGTCCTGGAGTGTGCGAGCTCTGAAATGGTGGTGATGGCTGGTCTCCATGGAAACACCCAGCTCTTCTCATTGTTAGCGGTGACCTCTGGCTCTCTCCTGTAACCACTGGGAAAGTAGATGCCAGAAGTAGCCTTTCACCTAAAACTTTAGGGGGATTACTAAAGAGTTAAGAAGTAGCTTTGCTTCTTGGCTATGCCCTACTTCTTCTGGCAAAGGGCATGATGGGGAAAGCAATAAGCACAAGCCATTCACGGAAGGAAGGCGAACATAAAAGAGATGCCAAATAATTTACAACTGATAAGTCTCTAAGAATGTGTGCAAGATTCATGTGCAAGAGATAGGAGACGGTCCAGGATCATGCACTGAACAATTCCTCAGATTGGTGTGTGGGTGACATCTTGTTTTCCTGTATTAAAGTCACGTGGGCAGAACATACTAGTCAACCCAGTTGACTAAATAACCAGGCAATCGTGGTTACTCACAAGAGTCTAATTGATCTTTAATACTTCTAAGGTAGAATAAAAGTACATACATTATTAACCCAAACCCATACAGAAAGAGTTCTGTACTCCAAAGACATATTTGGAGGCAGGATGCTTATTTTTATAGGGTCACATGCCTTAATCTGTCAGTCTGTCTATTCACCTTCCCGTTAATACTGATTTAGGAACAAAATGTCAAGCTACAGCATGAAGCATTTGTGTTCCTTTATAACTATGTTGCTGCAGCAATGACAACAAAAGAGTTACCTGAACAATTGACCTTACTTTGCATACCAAAAGACTTCATTCTCTATAATCCAAATCTCCTGTTTGACCATAGAAGGTGGCCTTACTTCTCCAAGAGAAGAGAAGCGGTTCTTTTTTAATTGCTTTGATCTTATGGCATCGGAGAAATCTGCACATCTCCTAGCAAAGTGACCCCTTTGAAGTGGACACCACTGAAACTGCTGTGTGGTTCTAGTTTATTAAATTCAGCTTCATTGCTTCATAGTGGCACTTGAATGGGATACCTTTCTCCCAATATTTCATAAGGGACCCAACAAAACAGGAAAAGGAAGACACTGGAAAATGAAAACTCTTCTCCCTCTGCGGACAGTACTCTGCAACTGACCCACGTCATTCTTCAAAGAACTGTGAAATATTACTGTGTACTGCCCTTCGTATTCCAGAGCATCCAACAAGTCATGATAAATGCTAAAAGAAATATTAACCACTTACTGAACCTCACTTTGTTTTTGTTTTTTAGTTCAGTAACAATATTGAAGTCTTGGCTTTTGTTCCGTCTAGTTCTAACTTCCATCAGAACGGTCTGAGATAAATAGCTTTTTCCTCTTCCAGAGAGACATGGTGAGGTATTATGTACTCTGAAGCCACAGAGCTAGTTCCTTCATTGTCTTTTCTGGTCCATTTCTCCTTTACAGGCAGTATCGCCGCCATCACTGTGACAGTCATTGCCGTGGTGTTGTTGGTGTTTGGAGCTGCAGCATACCTAAAGATCAGGTGAGATACTCCTTCCTTTTGTGAGGCTCCAGGGCAAAGGCTGTTTCACCACGGGCTTGTTTGTGATGGGCGTCCCATCCCTCAGAAATACAGGCAGGGAAGTAAACGTGGTCAGGAAACCAGCCCCACACTAGATGGGGTGGATAGTTTGTAGAAGAAAACACTGAGTATGTGGCGTGCTGATGTCATAGGACAAGGTTTAAGTAGAGTCTGGAGTCTCTAGGCAGACACTCGGCACCTGAGTGAAATTTTAGCTCCTTGGGCTGACCTAGAGGTCACTCAGACCTGGCCCTTGCCCTCCGCATCTGGGTCTAGTTCAGGCTCCCCTTCAGTTCTCAGAGCTTGCCAACCCTGCCTCCCAGGTCTTCGGTCTCCCGTGCTACCCCACCCCCACAGCTTCATTTGAAGCACCTCCTAGTGCCTGTGAATGTGGATTCCTCTCCTCAGAGAGCTTTCCTTTCCAGTTTCAGGCCCTGTCATTTTTCCTTTTTGTTCTTCATTGCTTTCATCGCCAATGCTATCAATGTTTATTATATTTTTCATGCATTTGTGTGCTTGATTATTGTCTCTTTTCCTCATAAATATATGAGCTTCATGAGCCTTTGTCTCATGTGTTAGCTCAATAATAGACACAGGGGTGAAGCTTGCTAAAATAAGTGACAAAGATAATAGTACACATCATATATACTGTGTGCATACACACAGGTGTGCACACACCATATACACAAGTGCACACACATCAGACACAGATACACACACACATCATACATTAGACATAGATACACACACGTACACACACATTCATATACCATATACACATATGCACACACATCAGATATACACACACAGACATTTGACACAGACACACACATACCATATACACACACATCAGACACAAACGTACACATACATCAGGTACACAGACACATACCATGCAAACATACACACAGACATTAGACATAGACACATGCACATAAACACACACCATACAAGCATGCACGCGCGCGCGCACACACACACACACACACACACACACACACACACACACACACTCCTGTCTTACTGCTTTACACCGTATCTGTTTCTTCCTCACAGAACATCTGCTGGTCCTACCTCATCCCATTGTGCTTGTCCCTTATAAAGACACATCCCCTTCCCCTCATCAGCCCCCTCATCTCCACTGGTCACCCCAGTCCCGCACTCACCAGGGAATGCACCCAACCTCCTTCCCTTATATCACTCGACATCAAATTAATCTAATAATGGTATAAGAATGAGAGGGCTTCACAGCATCACTTCCACCTAGGGTACAAAGACAGAAGAGGACAGCTCTCAAGGAAAAGGGGAAACAAAATGGTCTGAGTTACTCATATCCAAAAGCCTTTATAAAAACACACAGACATTGCCTTCAGATTTAAAAACAAAACACCTTTGTCTTCATTAAGTCTGAATTTCTTTGAGTATCAAACTTAATTTTATGAATCACGTAGTTGTGAGTAGGACTCTTCACTCTTACTGTTATAGGTATCTTGTTTTTATGAATTAAGTAGCTTCACTGCTACTTTGTGACAGAGTATGCTAAAAAATATATCCCTGCCCCAGCCAGAGGAAATTACAGATAAATTATTATTTTTCAAATCACTGATGGTGCTATTCTACAGAACTATAACACCAAAAAGCATGACCTTGGCACAAATGTCCTCCTACTTGCTGTATTTTCCACAAACACATACCAAAAAAGATGCTAAGATCAACTAAAGAACTCTTTGTCTTGACTTTGAGAAAGAATTCAAATTTACCATTTCAAACAAATACTACCTATCTGCCAGCTTGATCAGTAATTAAACATTCATATTCTGAACGCTGAGAGATGTTAGTTCAAGTCCCAGCCCCACCATTTTATAGCAGCCTGCGCCAGTTATGATGAATCATTAACCCTCACACCCTTACCTGTGAAGAACGGTGGGCATATTGGGAGAGTGAATAGATACTGTGTGCCAAGAACAAGTCCTTCTGCCACCATCATCAAAAGCCTAAGCTGGGTAAAACCTTGGCAACAGAGCCAAACGTACATACACACACAGATATGCATACACACATAGATAAACACACATACACACAAACGTTTACCGATCACCAACCATGTGGCAGGCATCACTCTAAACAATGGGACCACCTCAGTGAAACAGCAGAGTCCTGCCATCATAGAATGCACCACACTTAGAACATGAGCACGCCATTACAAATTGTTCTGTGACTGATGAAAACTGGATAAAATGCCATTTGTAAACTATGTGCCTCTATTCCACGTGGAGATGGTCTACAGTGGTGGGAGCATAAGAACGCTGCCTATGAAGCCATCTCCCCACATTTGGCACTGTAAACTTAAGGATAAGCTCGTCACACCCATGCATTAGAAAGCCCCTAAGGAAAGCCCCTGTCTACTTCCCCATTACATTTGGTGGGGGGAGTGGTTAATTGTTTTCATGAGTCTTAGGCCATGCTAAAACCCCTTCAAGTGTTATCTTGCCAGATTCTCGGAAAATACCTCTAATTGATCCTTCTTCAAAAAATATAGTCAGCTCCATTGATGCCTGCCCCCTCTCTCCTCTCTCTCTCTCTCTCTCTCTCTCTCTCTCTCTCTCTCTCTCTCTCTCTCTCTCTCTGTGTTGTGTGTGTGTGTGTATTATGTGTGTATATGTATTATCTGTATGTGTGTGTGCACCTATGTGTGTGTGTGCATGTGTGTAACATTACCCTTCATCTTGCCTAGAAATTTGTTTTGCTTCTATCATCCCATATTTCTAAGCACAATTGCATGCAAGTGTTTTCTTATCTGGCAGACTCTGATCACTTGCCTACTAACTGAAATCCTACACTGTTAGCGTATGGCCTGTGCCTACAGGCTACAGTCTTGGCACAGCCAATGTCCCTGTGAGTGCAAAGCCACTGGAAAAGGCAGCCTCACCTCAAAAACACGGTGCGCCTTAGAAGCTCTGCTGACAGGGCTCAGTGCCTTTACCTTTCTCCTCAAGTGTTCATTTCCTCCAAAGGCATCGGGAAACTCATTAGCCATCTGTTTTCACACTTCTGTTCTCCCATGGCCTATGACCCCCAGTTTGATCACAGCATCTGCTGCCTGGAGAACTGTATCTTTTAGTAACCTGAGTCATCATAGGATGTGGCTCATACAATTGACCTGCCTGAACTTCTTAGAGCTCTCCCATTATGGACCCATCTTGACCAGCAGCAGTTTCATGTGGCGGGGGAACAGAAGCTCTGTGTTCATGCTCAGCACCACAGGGATTAAACTGGGATGCCTGCACCTGTTCAGTGAGGAGGCTGAGGGGAGTCACTGGGGGAGGCTGAATGCTGTGACAGCCATCGTTCTCAGAACTGGACACGTCATGTGATGCCAGTGAGATGGTATATTCCAACATGAGACTGGAAGAATGACTTATCGTTGGCATCCCTACTTGGTAGACACAAAGGATGCATAGGAGGAAGAGAAGAGGGGAAAGGAAAGGATGACTCGGCAGCTCGGTAGTGTGGCTGTGTGTGGTGTGGCAGCTTCCTGGTGGTACTGTGGGGTTGCATTTGTGTTAGACATTCATGAGCAGAAAGCATCTCAGGCTGTCTCTACTCCAAGGCTCATTTGCAAATTTAATGGGAAACAGAGGCCCTCCCTACCTCTTGCAGAAGGGTGTCTTTAATTAGTCATGATTGAAGTGTGGTGGAAGTCAGTTCTGTTTTGTTTAAATTGCTCGAATCTGCTCAGCTAGGAGATAATCTCCGCACACAAGGGCCCACATCTGCAGAAGTGGATGGAGCTGTGATTAGGTGTCCCGGGGACGATTCACAAAGCACATGTGATCTCAATGTTCAGACAAGACATGGCCTGGCTCTTCACATGTCTTTGTTAGCTGTCTTGCTTTGTGTCTCACAGTGACTGCAGATGGCTTCGACTTGTTGTTGGGTTTCATGACTAGCCCCAGCTGGCTGTGAAGGCCAGGATCTTTTAGAATTTGTTGTCCACATCCTGGATGTTTTCAGATTAGCTTCTGGAGTTCTGGGTATCTAGATTATTTGATTCACACCTCTGTGGCTTTCTGGACTCTGCTGAATAAAATTGTCAGTGGGGGTGAGGAACATATCACAAACAATTTCCAGCAACTCTGACCCTTATTCTGATAGGATAGGTCTGGATGGAGTCCTTATAACCTCATTTCCAGCTAGCTCGCCAATGATACCAAAACTGGTGGTCCAAGAACCATACTTCGAATAATTCTGCTTTATTCTTATATACTGGTACTTCTAAGAGATACTTTGCTGTGGAAGTCCCTCAGATGTACAGCCCTGTCCCTTCATGCCTCTATGACTTTGAACAAACTAGAGGCGTTTGGTTCATCCAGTTTCTTAATTCTCATGTGGCTGGCTCTAGAGAGGCCTCCTACTCACGCTGACATACCAAGTTCCTGGACACACCTTCCTGCTGTCTTCCACTTGCTTCCCAGGAACTAACAATGTATCCAGTCTCTTCCACTGGCACCATAAAAAGCCTCTGGTCCCACACCCAAGTACCAAATGAGAGCTTCAGAGTACAGCTAACTGCAAGGGACTAAATTTGATCAACAGCAAGAGTAATCTTAGAGGCTGGTTCACCTGTAGGGGTAGGGAAGTGGGAGCCACTTGTTTAAGCCACACAGACTTTCACTGATCATCTCTCCATGCTGGGCTGTTGACAGAGGTGGGGCTTCATCTGTGGTGATGGTCTGAGAGTGGTATGGTGTCTCTCACAGATGACAATAGCTGTAAAAACTGAAAGAGGTAAATGTCAAGGTGATTGGCTATTGAAGGTTTTAGTTTGAAAATAATAGCTTTGAAAAAAACAGACTATGAAAGAAGGCTTTGAAAATAATGTTTGGAAATGTGCCCATCGCTGGGATTTTGGTAGAAACAGACAGAACTGATAAAGACCTCAGTTGTGACAAGTTGCTACT